TTTTAGAGTCCCGACGCTATATCTTTTGATAGCTGGACAACATCAGCTTTCTTCACCACATTTGCTTATGCATCCATTTTGTCTTCAGCGATCATGTCGGGAAGGGGAGCATCATAGAATGCCTGGTTATGGGAACAAAGTGTTCTTGCATTGAGAGTAGAGGCTTGAGTAGAGTACTTGAGTAGAGGCTCAATATCCGTCTGCTACCTTAATACTTAACATACAAATATATGTACATTGATCTATTTCCCTATCGTTATATATAAATATGTTTGTGTATGTGCATACCTGTATTTAGGCCTTTATAAATGTCCTTTGCCTCTTAGTTCTTTCCTCTATTTCCTTTTACTTTCCTTTTGTCTCATTATCATGTTCAGCCTTCATTTGGGTTTCCGTAATTTATCTGTCTATTTTAACTACTGTGGCTGTGTAATAGGTTTGAGGGTTGGGAAGTGAGAAGCCTCCTACTTTTTTCTTAAGAAGTTCTTTGTTGATCCTTGGTCTCTTCCCTCAGTAATTTTTTTTTCTATTTCTCTAAAGTTGGGATCTGGATCAGAATTGTGTTGTACTTATAGATTGCTTTAGGTAGTATTGACGTTTTTACAATATCATGTCTTCCTATCCATGAACAAAGAGCCCCGATGGTTTGGTTGCACGTTGCACTGATAACTGCAATGTCAGCAGTTTGAAACCACCAGCTGCTCCTCAGGATTAACACGAGGCTTTCTACTCCCATAAATAGTTACAGTCACAGATAATCACAGGGCCAATTCTACTCTGTCCTATAGGGTTATTATGAGTTGTCTTTGACTTGATGCCAGTGAGATTCATGAACTTGAAATAGTCTTCCGTTTATGTAGATCTCCTTTGGTCTCTGGTAGTAGTACTCTGTGGTTTTCTTTGTACAAGTCTTTGGTTTCTCTGGTCAAGTTTACTCCTAATTTTTCAAATTTTTGTGTTGCTCTTGTAAGTCCTATTATTTTCTTGGTTTCTTTTTCAGAATTCTCTTAGTATGTAGGAATCTAATTGTTTTTTGTATGCTAATCTTATATCCTGCCAAGCTGCCAAATCTCTTATTTTTTCCAGTAATATTTTTTGTTAAGTCTTTGGGATTTTCCACGTATAAAGTCATATCATCTGTGAGAGTTTCACTTCTTTGCCAATTTGGATTGCTTTGGCTTCTTTTTCTTTTTTTTTTTTTTGTCTAGTGTTTCTGCCCTCAACTTCAGCAATGCGTGGAATAAGATTGGGGGTTGGGAGCATCCTGGTCTGATCCCCTTCCCTGGGGGGATGCTTTCGATTTCTGTTGAGCAAGATTTGGGCCATTCGTTTTGCATATATGACCTTTATTGTGTTGAAAAATTGTGTTTCTATTCCTATTTTTCTGAATGTGTTTATGAACAATGGCTTATGCTTACTTCATAAAATGAGTTTGGGAGTTTACTGTTCTATATATTCTGTAAGAGTTTGTATAGAACTGGTGTCAACTATTCTTTTTTTAAAATTGTTTTATTAGGGGCTCATACAACTCTTATCAAAATCCATACATATACATCAATTGTGTAAAGCGCATTTGGACATCATTCTCAAAACATTTGCTCTCCACCTAAAGCCCTGGCATCAGCTCCTCATTTTCCCCCTCCCTCCCCACTTCATCCTCCCCCATGAACACTTGATAATTTATAAATTATTATTTTGTCATATCTTGCCCTGTCCGATGTCTCCCTTTACCCACTTTTCTGTTGTCCATCCTCAAGGGAGGAGGTCACATGTAGATCCTTGTAATCAGTTCCCCCATTCCAACTCACCCTCCCTCCACCCTAACAGTATCGCCACTCACACCACTGGTCCTGAAGGGGTCATCCGCCCTGGGATCCCTGGTGTCAACTATTCTCTCAACGCTTTAGAATTCCCTAGTGAAGCCATATAACTCTGGTCTTGTTGTTGTTGTTGGAAGTTTTTCTATGACCTTATCTATTTCTTCTTTTGTTATGGGTTTGTTGAGCTTATCTACATTAATGTGTGTTAATTTGGGTAGATAGTGTGCGCCTAAAAAAATTATTCATTTCATGCAAGTTTTCAAATTTGTTCTTTGTAATGTGTTATGGTCTTTTGTTTGTTTTCCATTTGTATGCATTGTAATGTCACCTCTTTCTTCTCTTATTGTTGATATTGACACTTTCTGGTTTTTTGGTTGTTTTCTAGTTATTTATCAATTTTGTTAATTCTTTCAAAGAGCAAGCTTCTTTTCTTGGTGATTTCCCCTGCTATGGTTTTGTTTTCCAATTCACTCAATGTCCTTGCTCAATCCAGCTGTTTCAGAGTGACAGCCTCTCTTACTCAAACCAGCTCTCCATACCCAGTGTTTTGGGTTTTTTTAAAAGATAACGAAAAATTCAGTCTTTTGTGTATTTACTTTAAAAATTAGACAGGACCATAATAGGCTTTCTCTTCCAGGGACCACCCACTTTCCAGGCAAAACATCTTGGTCTAACATCCCCAAACTATCTTTGAGAGGCTTTGTGTGTGTGTGTGTGTGTGTGTGTGTGTGTGTGGGGTGTCTGTGTGTTCACTATGTGAATCGTGATGCTGGGGGGAAATATTGAAAGTGCTCAAGGGACAAACTGCTCTGTCTTGGCAGAATTACAGCCAGCGTGCTCTTCAGAGGCAAGAATGACAAGACTTCATCTTACGGACTTTGGACATGTTGTCAGGAGGGAACGGTCCCTGGAGAAGGACCTCATGCTTGGTAAAGTGGAGGGGCAGCGAAAGAGAGGCAGGCCCTTGCTGAGATGGATGGACTCCGTGGCTGCCACAATGGGCTCAGGCATAGGGACCACTGTGGAGACGGTGCGCAACTAGCAGCGTTCCCTTCTGCTGTGCGTGGGACGGCTGTGGGTTACACCCGTCTCAATGGCATCTAACAACGGTGATGGGCGGTGACAGTAGCAGCACTGACGAATTCCAACACGTAAAAACATGGGGTAAGGGGTCAAGGAAATTGTTCCAAAATGAAGTTTTTCTTCATTTCCTTGTTTGACTTCCCACCATGCACCTGTAATGGTGTCGGAATCGGCAACCCTGTAGGCCAGAATCAACTGGCCATACATTTCCTAAGGCTGTATGCTTTCTGAAAAGCCTGTCACGTGCTTCTTCCAAGAAATGCTTAGTGGGTTCTACCTGTGACCTTTAGGTTAGGACCTTCTATTTCACCACGCTTGCCACCAAGGATCCTTAACAATGTGCTACTCAGAATCGATACCCAAACCAAAATCTGTATGGGCACAGAAAGCCTCACAGCAATCCCTCCGGATCCCTCTGACTTGAGCAATGATATCCCCTCTTCAGGCCCTGAATCCGGCAGGAACTTTTGGCAGCCCCCTGCTGATGGACTCTGGCCACTGTTTCTGAATTATCTTGAGCAAAATGTGCCCTGCAGGGCGAGGGAGCCCTGCTGGTGTTGTAGTTACCCGTTGGGCTGATGACTTCAAGGTCAGTAGTTTGAAACTACCCGCAGCTCCTTGGGAGAAAAGCGGGGTTTTCTCCTTCCTGAAGGAGTTAGTCTCGGAAACTCACAGGGACCGGTCTCCCCCCTCCGACAGGGTCACCATGAGTCCCCGCATCCAAGGCGGTGAGCTGGGTTTGGGTTTGATCATTCTGCGGCGTTTACCTGTCCCTGGAAGGGCAGCGAGGTGGGGGAAGGGGCAGGCAGAGGACCATCAGAACATACCGTTTCACGAGAAGACACAGAGACACCTGGGGGCTGTCAGGGTGCGACCCCTCCTCGGTCACCAGGTCCAGTTTTCACAGACCGGACAGCTAGCCCCTCTTTTCCTCTGGAAATGCCTGGGCCACTTGGGGAAATGCTTGAGTTTGTGTTTGGGTTGGGGGGGGAGGGGTGGACGTTGAAATGGAGACAGGTGAGTTGCACTGGCTTGCTAAGCGTCTGCGGATGCGTGCGTGCGCGTGTGTCCACACCCAGTGTTTTATCACACCATTCCTGAGGTGACTGGATGGTCTCTTCTGCAGGATCCTGGAAGCAGGAACCTCGATTAATTCTGGCTTCCATTGCTGGCAGTCCAAATTCCCCGCATTTATCTTGGAAACTTACCCCCAAAGTCTTGTGGTGGGTCCTGGGTGGCATCTTGAGCCTGAGGGCACTGGCTCCTTCTGAGGCCTGCAACCTCGTGGGTGCTGATTTCCAGCCTCCTGACCAGTCGTTTACGCACCTGCCTCAGGTGCCTCTTCTCCTCTTCCGGTACAGACTTGTCATGGAGAGGTTGCTACTGGCCACCCGCAGGTACCTGGCTTGGGTTTCCAGCTCTTTCCTCAGGGTGCCCAGTTCTCTCTGCATTCCTTCTCCAGAGTCCTGGGTTCCAGCAGGCTGGTCCCCTATCAGCCACTGGAGCAAACCCTCCAGAGAGCTGAGGCAGCCTTGGTGGCCCTGAGGTCTGCATGCTGGGTGCTGCTGTCCCTCTGAAGGGCTTGCCCCAGCCTCATAACATTTGTAGTGTTTGAGCCCGTTGTTGTAACATTGTGGGTAGAGACTGGAAGAGTTTTAGAGTGGCCACGAGTAAAAGTCTAGATTTCGTGGAAGAGATTGTTGCTAGAAGCATAATACAAGCAGTAGAATGCTGCTAGAAATGTAGGTCTTTAAAATGACCCTCTAGTGAGGCTTAAAAAAAAGATGACGATGTGATTGGACAATGGAAGAAAGGGGGGCGGGGTTGCTTTTTATGTAGTGGCTAAGAATTTGTCTGAATTATGTTCAATTGTTTGGTGGAAGGTCAACTTAAAAAAAAGAAACACACAAACAACTCACTGCCATCGAGTCAATTTCGACTCACAGTGACCCTACATGAGAGTGTGGAACAATCGATGTATGTATGGATTGTGATAAGAGTTGTATGAGCCCCTAATAAAATGATTAGGAAAAAAAAAAAGGAGAGTGTGCAAGTGCCCCTGTGGAGACTATACATCTTTGTAGGGAAGGTGCTGCCATGGCTTCCATCGGCGTCTGCACCAGCGGTGCTGCGGGATCTGCAAACGAAACGCCCGAGATCCCCGACAACGTGGGCGATTGGCATCCGGACGATTTGCGGAGGAACTTGATCCTCAACTTGGGACTTTTTGCAGCAGGCGTTTGGCTGGCCAGGAACTTGAGCGACATTGATCTAATGGCACCCCAGCCAGGGGTGTAGCCACCTAGACACTTGGGACCCTTGTGCTGTACTTGAACCTTCCACACACAGCCTCCATTTCTGTGCCGCCACAAGATTTGCCCCAAGGGCAACTGAAGTTTGATTCAGCTAAGCACCCACCCTCCCCTTTGGCTCCACTCCGAACTGTGTTCGGTGGCGGTCAAGCATGAGCTAAAGGGTTGCTCGCTGTTATGTAAAGTTGTGTGCATCACCACTTCCAAGTTTCTGCAGGGGGTCGTCTGGACTCTCATCCTGGGGAAGAGCCTAGTGGTGTTTTATAAATACTTGAAATAAAGAATGGTTACACACACACACACACACACAAATCTTTGCAGGAGTAGAAAACCTCATCTTTCTCCTGAGGAATGGCTGGTGGTTTTGAACGGCTTATTTTGCAGTTAGCAGCCCAGCCCGTAACCACTACTCCACCAATGGTAAACGTGGATATCTTGTTGAGAAGATCTCTAGGCTATGGGCCACGCGCCCTTATGGAACTGCAGAATTTCCCAATCCTTTTCATTTTCACAGTTCATGTTTAAGTCTATCTCTGCCCTCTTACATTTTGAGTGGCAAGGAGAAGCTACAGTTACTTTAAGCTATGGCAGCAGTTCTCATCCTGTGGGATGTGACCCCTGTGGGGGTCCAACGACTCTTTCACAGGGGTTGCCTAAGACCATCGGAAAACACATAACTATTTCACAATATATAATTACATATTGTTTTGTGATTAATCACTATGCTTTGATTATGTTCAATTTCTAACAATGAAAATACATCCTGCATATCAGATACGTAATGACGATTCTTAACAGTAGCAAAATTATGGTTATGAAGTAACAACAAAAATAATGTTATGGTTGGGGGTCACCACCACATGAGGAACTGTATGAGAGGGTCGCGGCATTAGGAAGGTTGAGAACCAGCGATTTACACGATGAATCAAAAATTCGAGTTCACTGCGAGTCAATTCCGATTTATACTCAGCCCATGACACAGATTAGCATGGCTCCTGTGGGTTTCTGAGGCTGTGAATCCTTGTGAGACTAGAGAGCTTCCTTTTTTCTCTGGGGCAGAAGCTAGTTTTGAACTGCTGACCTGTGATTAGCAGCCCAATGTGTAACCTACTATGCAGTCAGCACTCCACGATATATATTTATTAATATCTCCTCAAAGAAAAGGTATGCATTTTTATTTTGCGTCAAGTAACATTCCCCAAAGAGTTGGCTTATTTTCTGAAACAGGATAGAAATATCATAGCATTTCTCTATCCTTTCTCATGCTGGAGTGTGTATTCAAAAAAAAAAAATGTTTCTAAGTCAAAGTTTCTCATTTTAAGATGTTATAATTGAAACTATAAACCATAGATTCCAAAACTTATTTGATCTAATGCTCCCTTTCCAGAAATTACTCAGTATAATTAAAAGCATTTGTATTACAGCCCATCACCCAGGATAAAGGGTGGTTAACTTTTGGGGGGCTCCTTGGATCCTTCTAGGGCCCTAGAAGGGGTGGTATAGCCCACTTTGGGAAATATTACACAAGGACATGGACCCTCCTAACTTTATGAAAAGACCTGTCACTGTTCTATTTAAATATAACATTTATACAGAAAACCACTTAATGAAAAGAAATGAGTTTGCATAAAAAATTGAATTTATAAAGTTAATCTCAACTTGATTTCAGCGGTAGATTAACTAATGGGACCAAAAGAATTTAGTTAAAACCTATTTTCATAATTTATAGCAATTCTTCCTATTATCAGAAGGCCGGGTGGTGGTGGTGTAATGGCAAAGCCCTCAGCTGCTAACGGGCAGGTCAGTGGTTCAAATCCACCAGCTGCCCTCTGGGTTGCAGCATGGAAAATTCCATGGGGCAGTTCTACTCCTGTCTTACAACATTGCTATGAGTTGCTATGATGGCAATGGGTTTGGTTTGGGTATTTTAAACAGTATCGAACAAATGACACATCAAAAAAGTTTTTCCAAAAATTTATTGAAGCAGAAACAAGTTGGTCAGATACTTACTGGGAAAAAAAGCAGTTTTAATGGTATTCAAAAAATACTTTAAAAAAGTATTCTAGCACAAGACTTCTTTGTAAACTAGATTAAGTTGTAAACTTTTTTTTTTTCTAATGGTTTTAGGTTGGTTCTTAAGCACTAGAGCTTATTCCTATTCCAAATCTATCTTGCGCTCCTGAAGAAACACTGCAGAAAGGCACTTGGAAAGCTGTTCCTTTAAGATATGGATCTTGTTTTGTATTCTTGCTGGTAAGAAATTGCCACACCGAGTGCACGCAAGATTCACTCAAGGTCATCATGATGCTGAGAAGTCTCATTGATAACCTGTTGGAGAAAAAAACAAAAATATCCAATACGATTTAGCACTATGTGCTGTACGATTACATAAAGCCTCAAAAAAGAAAGATCCTATATCTATGAAGGGACTTCAAACACTTGTGGGGAAAAATGGAATGAAAAGATACTGAAAATTTCCCATCAACTTCTAAAGTAATGATTCATTTTTAACTTTTGACAGGTATCTCACGTACCATGCAGTTGAGGGGTTTAAACATAGTAGTAAGGGTGGTGCGATCCTCACCACAGTCCCTTTTAGACCATGGTCTTCACGCTTGCGCTCACTATCATTGCTGCTGTGATGTGCCCGCCGGTCGGTAGAACAGTGTCAACAGAACAAACATTGTTCCCCATCGACCCTAACCCCCTTTGCCCTCAGGAACTTTTAATCTAATGACTGCCTCTATAGATCTACCTATCTTGGATTTCATCTAAAGGAAATCATTTTAAAAACCTTGACAATGGTAACAAAATGAAAGAGAAAATCCTCAATCCAAGAGAAAGCAGAATAGAACGAGTACAAGTTAAACGGGTCAAAAGGAAAAACAAAGGCTGTGTTATATGTTACCCTAACGTAACCCTATCTGCAGTAATCCAGTTACTCCCAAAGCACTCTATCTGAGGGTAAGACGACTGTCGTCCCTGGCCAAGGGTCTGCGGGAATTCCATGGAGGCTTAATCAGCATGGAGACTGCGAATGAACTTGAAGTTTTCACTGCCATCCAAAGCCTTCTGCCTACTGGTGTTCAGAATTTAAGGGCTATTCAATTTCTTCCTCTCATCCGATATTTTATATTATTGACAGTCTGTGGATTGCACAGGTTGGCGTGTTGCTCCTGTTCTATAAACTTTTTGAAGTCCTTCCTATTATATATTGTGGAAATGACAAGATTTTTTTGGTTCTGAATGGCAAGGGGTACAGCGAAGAGGGGAAGATGCAGAGATGAAAAGATGTTCCCCACCTATAGGCAAAAGGAGTCAGCAATGGAAAATCCTTTTAGGATTCTGCTTTCGAAATATGTCTTACAAAATCAGATGCAGCAAAGTTCAAAAGCAGTTGAGACATTAAAAAGAGGCTACATTTATGGACAGGTAAGGATTCCACGAAGATTAAACTATATCGTGACAATTTATTTGCTGGATTAGTGAGGAAGCAAGAATCTAATTCGCCAAGCAGCCAGCCCTTGTACTACAGAGAAGGGTGTAGGAGGTGAATGGCAGAAAGGGAAGGACCTATGTCCAGGATCAAAACACTGCTGGCACTGAAACAGTCCAGTGGAGCTAGTCTGGGAGTCACTTCGGAACTCAAGGGACCTTGACTCCCAGTTCAAAGTCAGCACCATAGCACACGCATTCATTCCGAACTTCAAAAAGACTGCCGTCTCACTTGCATATCGAGGAGTCAAATAACTAGTAGGCCACATGTCGCTGGAAGAGGAGGTGTATTTTTTTTTTTCAATTGGCATGTGTAGAGTTGAAAGTTCCCAAATTAATCTGTATACTGAGATACAGATTTGTGGCTGATTTAAAGGGACAGTAATTCTTGTCCGCTATTATTCCACTTGTGATCTGAAAGATACCAACCTGTCCGTCTCTGGTCTCCACGGTCTTGATCAGGAGAGTTCTCTTTGAGTGGGTGTCGACCAGAGGGAGCGACTCCAGATTGGTTTCTAAATTAAAAAAAAAAAAAGACAACAATGAGTATAACTAAAACGTAGAGAAAACAAGTAACCTTTGTCCCAGTAATCACGATCTTTTGCAATCATTCAAAGTGCTTCTTGAAAGGGCTGCAAAAGAATTCTCATCCTTCTAAAGAATCCAGACAACTGTTTTTACTTGAAAGTCAAGCGCCTGACACCGCGGTAACATTTGGATGCATGCAGTCCATCAGGAAGAATTAAATATAGTTCAAATTTGACTTGAACCTCAAAGTGCAAAACAGGGCCTGGGCTTGAAAATTACTGATTTAAGAAAACAAAACAAAAAGCCTTACATATTTTTATTAGAATTTTCCATTTCTCAGAACAAAACATTCTTTTGTTCATACAAAATGAGCACTTTCCAGACAGAAAAATGGTTCTTGGCTGCTGACATTTTTCTTAAAGGAAAAAGAGTTCTTACCTCTCAGATTCAGGGAAGAAAAGGTTGGCAGAGGCAGTGCGATCCTAGAGAAGATGAAGAAAAACAGTAAAACTTTGGGAAAACCACTTGAACAAGGAACACATTTATTTATGCTTTTGGTTTCAATCAAGTAAGAAAATGTGCTTGTGTCCTTGTTAAGTTAGGAAAATGTATTTACTCATGATTGTTCTTATTCATGTATTTAAAAGATTTTATGCCAATCATGGACTCCCCCAGGATATGTACTACAAGAAGATAAACCCATACAGAAAGCTGTGGGTTCTTATTCCAGCTCTACCTTTGATTACCCCTGATTACCGCACACTAATGGCTCTAAGTAATCGGCTATAAAGAAAAGAAAGTATTTTGTTCTCGTTAGGTGTTGGGGTGCTAGCCCCAACTCATCAGGATCCTTATGCACAAAAGCACGAGACACTGTCTAGTCCTGCATCATCTTCACAATTGTTGCAATATTTGAGGTCCCTGTTGCAGGGAAGTATCTCCTTTGCATAAATATTGCACAGATTGGAAAGGGATCATGTATATAAAGAACACAATGGATAGTCAATGGCAGCTATTCGTTCAGGCACAACCAAAATCAGTAGCCATTGGTTCGAATTCAACTCATGGCGTCTCCATGTGTGTCAGAACAGAACTGTGCTACACATGGCTTTCAATGGCTAATTTCTCAGAAGCAGACCATCAGAGCTTTTTTTTTCTTTCAAGATATCTCTGAGTGGTCTTGAACCTACAACCTTTCAGTTAGCAGCTGAGCATATTAACTGTACTAGTCAGGGGCTACCAGCATGCAAATCGGCACTGTATACCTGCTCTCCTCGCCTTCCAGCAGCTTCCTGTAGGTGGCAATCTCAATGTCAAGGGCCATCTTGACATTCAGCAGGTCTTGGTATTCACGCAGGTGACGAGCCATTTCTTCCTTCATGTTCTGAATCTCATCCTGCAGACGGCCAATAGTGTCTTGGTAGTTAGCAGCTTCAAGAGCAAAGTTCTCCTCCATTTCACGCATCTGGCGCTCCAGAGATTCATTCTGCAGGTGACAGAGGTTTCCAAAGTTATTTCCCAGGGAAAACTCGGCTATACCTAGAGTTCTTAATGACCATTTGTATAGTTCTCATTAATGTCAAGTGGTGAGGACCCCGATTCTAGGTAGACAATCCAAGTGTGAAGTCCTTTTTGTATTACCCCCAAACAAAGCGAAAAACCAAATTCACTGCCACCGAGTCTATTCCAACTAGTGGGGACCCTATAGCACAGAGTAGGACTGCCCTTGGGGGGTTGTGAGGCTGTAAATTTTTACAGGGCAGGAAGCCTCTTCTTTCTCCTGCCCCTTCTTATTGGAACTATTAAAATATTTCTGCTAAAACTTTCAGATTTCCATCTTTCCTGACCACTCATTTTCACTGGATGAAGCTACTCATTTTTCTTCACTTGAAGCTCTGTTCAGATAACACCATTGCCGTTGTCCGCTGAGTGGGTCACGGGTGGTTAATGGTTCATTTCTCTGACACTGTGGAGCGGTACTTACAGTTCCTTTAAGGGCATCCACTTCACAGGTAAGGGACTGGACCTGTCTCCGGTACTCATTAGACTCCTGCTTTGCCTGGCGCAGGGCATCGTTGTTCCTGTTGGCGGCCTCGGAGAGATCAGCAAACTGGCAGGAAGAAAGGAGAACGAAGATGAACCGCAGTCAAGTATCTGAGTGTCAGGAAAATAAACTGTCGTTCTGACTCTTTGTGCCTAGGTCCTTGGGGCTTGATCATTTGTGACTCTTCCCAAACCAAATGCCCTGTCATCGCATGGAGTCTGACTCACAGTTGCCCTACAGAACAGAACTGCCCCTTTGGATTTCTGAGGCTGTAAATATGTATGGGAATAGAAAACCTCATCTTTCCCCGGTGAAGCAGCTGGTGATTTTGAACTGCTGACCTGTACTTCACAGACTAATGCAGCATAACCCACCACACCCCTGGGGCTCCTTATGTGTCCCCAGTGGGTGTGAAAAGAGGGTCTACAAACCCTCTAAAATTCTTTTAGCTATTCCAACTTCAAGACAGCAGTAAGGCATGGTACAAATCAAAGTTCATACTTTAAGGGCAAATTTCAATGACTTACAGAATTTGTCTAAATTTTTGTATTGAAAGCCAGAGAATGACACTGATATTCTTAGGTAGAATCCACCACACTATCCTGTCTAAAAAGGGTGGGGGTCAAGGGCATGGTGGTGGAGTTCACTAAGAGAGAAAAAGAAAGTGTTTCAATGGAAAGGTCGTGGGGGAGTTTGGAAAGGGAATTCCAGATAAAATTGGAATAAGAAGTCAGCTTTTTGAAGGGAGCTAAATGATATTTTAGAATCATAGACACACACCGCGTTTTTGAAACAAATGTTGCCTCTTGCTCTAGTCCTGCTGACGTGCTTCTTCGTACCTTAGACTTGTACCATTCTTCAGCTTCCTGAAGGTTCTTGGCAGCCACACTTTCATACTGCTGACGGACGTCGCGCAGGGCAGCCGTGAGGTCAGGCTTAGAAACGTCCACGTCGATTTGGACATGCTGTTCTTGAATCTGGGCCTGCAGCTCCTGGATTTCCTGAAGAAATAACAGACAGAAGAAGGTCAGGCTGACATCGATGGGAGCAGCTTCACCCAGTTACTCATGGAGAGTTACTCCACTTACCTCCTCATGCAGTTTCTTCAAAAAGACAATCTCTTCTTGCAAGGACTCGACTTTCCGTTCAAGGTCAAGACGGGCCAGAGAAGCGTTGTCGACATCCTAATTTTAAAAAGAGGAAAGATGGATCATGTATCAAGTTACTTCTGCAGTTCAGGCTGTGCACCTGCAGAGATGCTGCTCAAGCAGATAAAGAAACGATCTCTAATTCGGGGCTGTATTTGCTTTGGCTTCCCGGCTTAACTTTTGATGGGAAACTTCCTTGCAAAGGAAACTCTGATGGGAAACCTTTCCGCTTTTGATGTCCTATAATAGTAAGTCACCATCTATTTTTATTACATGGGAGTCCCCCGCCCACCCCCCCCAAAAAAAAACCCCGTACTTAAAACCATATTCATCAGCTTTAGGTTTTTCTTTTATTTGTGGAGATAAATAAAGACAATGCTGAAGGACACATGCTCATGCGGACCTTACAATATCGTAGCTCTGACCGTGGCTTTAAGAACTTTTCCTATCAAGTCCTTCACAGGTCTGAGCCAGATCTTACATAACGGATATTAGGATGTTAGCAAATAGTTGTGTCCAATTAGAACTGTGCTTACATCATTACATATTCACTAAGAATGCAGCCTGCTGCAAAGTTCCCTGGACACACAAAGACTCCTATTATTTCTGCCCGGAGCCACCGCATTTGCTAGAATGTCTGTATCTACATTCCATAGTGAATCCCATAGAAACCATTAATACCCTTCAGCAGAGGGGACAGATGGCTGCTTTTCTTCCTTTATTAGATCACAAAATAGTTGTGCACAGTGACACTTCCATCTAACTTTAACACCACAAGAGCGCTGGCAGAGAAGAAACGCGTTGGCTTCTCTCCAGGTAAACTACGTGTCTCGTCCTCGACCACCTTTGACGTTTTACACGACCGCCTAATCGTGCTTTTCGTGTCCTTGTCAAAAAACAACCACAAAAACCTGGCCAACTCTACATGGGATTGTAACTGCTCAAAATCAGAAGGCCGGTGCCCTGCAAAAACAAAGCGGACCCAGAGCGAAATGGCAGTATTTTCTTGAAAAATATTCGAAACAAAGTAAAAAGTGAAGGAAAAACAAACCCAACAAAAAATTCTATATGTTTTAAGAGGAGGGTAAACGCCGCCCCCCCCCCCAGGGCTGCTTCCATCTGGAGACGCTGCAGTTCGAGCCCACTAGAGGGCTTTCAGAACGCGCTCGAATTTGGCTCCGCGAGGCCGCGGGGAAGGAACTTCGCGAGTGGCCGCGGGCGGGCGGGCTGGGTGCGGTCCGGTGGCGGCGGGCGCGGAGGAAGTGGACCCACCTGTCGGAAAGACTGCAGGCTGCTCTCGGCGTCCTCTCTCTGCAGCATCTCCTCCTGCAACCTGAAAGCAGCGCATGTGAACAGCTCCAGGGGAAGCGGGA